GAACTCAGCAGAAAATCCTACTCGGCGGGTGGGGTGGGGGAGGCACTGCGGAGTCAATTGTACATATTTATGAGTACAATTTGTTTCAGAATGTATAGACTTTGAGTATTGATCAAATCAAGGTAGTTAGCATATCTGCCACCTTGTACATTTATCATTTTATGGGAAGAACATTCCAAAATATTCTAGATATGATGGACTGTCTGGCAGTCTGTTGTGAACTAAGGTCACATGTGTGTGTGGAACCCCAGTACATAGATCTCCTCACCAACTGTGACTGTACCCATTTACCTCCCTCCACTCAACCCCTTCTAAGTCTCTGGGGACCACTGCTCTGGCTTTTCTATGAGGTCAGATGTTGGATGCCACAGTGAAGAAGTTCTGGTAATATTTGTCTTTTGGTGTCTGGTGTATTCCATTCAGCATAATGTTTTTCAAGCTCTTCCATGTTGTCTCAAATGATGAGACTTCATTCTTAGTAACAGCTGAGTAGTATTCCATTATGGTGATGTAACCATAGTTTCTCTATTCGTCTTTTGTTGGGTAGGTGGGTTCCAAGTCATGGCTGACAACATAGTTGTATTAACTGTTGTCACCAGTCTTCATGTTAGATTCCCAGAAGTTACTCAGAACTGGAACTGTATACCCTTTGACCAGCATCTCCCATTTTCCTCCAAGCCTGAGGCAAATACTGTTGTACTCTCTCCTTTTGTGAGTCAGGCTATTTTAAATTCCATATATAAGTGTGTTATATAGTGTCTATCTGGTATGTAGCATTATTGAGATTCATCCATGTTATCATAGGTGGCAGGATTTTGTTCTTTATTATGGCTGAGTAGTATTCTAGTGTGCTTTGTGCCACATTTTCTGTATCCATTCTTTTGTCACCACACTGCTTCTGTAGCTTGATCATCATAAGGCCTTTGAAACCTTGGCTCTTTCCAGAGGATGACCATGAACACTCGAGGACCCTCAGGTAGTGGGGGGCCCAGCTGGTCTAGCTCCCTCTTGCACTGTGGTGTCTCCCAGGAGGAAGTCTTTCTTAGACAGAGGTTTAAAAGGCACACTGCCTTTCCTGGTATGGCTCCTCTTTGCATTTCCATTTTAAGCCTTTTATCTTTGTTGCTTTCCACTCTCTCTGAAAATCTCTCTTTGTGCTGCTGAGGTGTCCTGGGATATCTGGCCAATCCTTTCCCGCTCCATGCCTAGGCTTCCTGCATGGTCCTCTTCTGAGCAGGACAGTTGTAGAGGCCCCCGCCTGGGTCACACAGCCTGACTGTAAACCAGTTCCACTTTTCCTCTCTTCTTGCCCATCTATGTTTTCTGTCACCTTGCCACAGAACGTTCTGATTCAGCTTCATAAACAAACCTGCAGGGTCTTGCCTTGCTGTCCTTCAAAACGCCGAGAGGCCTGACCTTCCTTGTCTGGCTTACTGGCTCCAGCCACTCCACTGACAACATGGAGCCTTTCCTGAACACTCACAGCTAACTGGAAACACCCTTTATCATTTTGAATTTCAGCCTGTGCTCTGGCATAGGTTGGTATTTGCCAGTGTCCCCTCCACGCATACTTTGGTCCTTTGTCCCAGGGCTGGGCCCTGACTCTACCCGTTCTGCTGCCCCGCTGGCCCACAGCAGCACCTTTCCCGCTCTGTCAAGCACTTTGGACACTGCTTCTCTGAATATTGCCTCATCTGTGCCATTCAAGTTGTGGAACTGAGATGATGGTTTTAAAATAGAAGTCTGATCACTTCACTCACCTGTCCAGACTTCCTCTATGCTTCCTTTTGTCTCAACGAGGAAGTCCACCAAAGGTGTGGGTCCCAGGCCTTCCTATTCCTCACCAGCAGCACATACCCACTGATTCCCTCAGTTTTGATCCATGGTTGTGGAAAACTCTCCACCCTGATTCCTGAGCCCTGCCAGGGCTGCCCCTGTTGCCTGTATACTCTTGCATGTGGCTGACTGGGCAGTGCTTCGTCACAAAGCCTTTTCTTGATCTCTTTTACCATGATGGGGATCTAGGACCTGAGACCACAAAGCCTTTAAACCAAGGAATTTGTTCCAGTGTGGATATCCCAGGAAGTCATGCTCCCTGGGCTCTGTCCAAATGATGTAGGAGAGCCTGGGGCTCTACTCCATAATGCCCAGTCTCCTGCAGCTCTGGAGATGAATCTGGGCTTTGTGTGTGTACCTGTAAAGTCCTGAAACTTCCCAGAATGCACTGGTCAGTGACTGGGAGTGAAGGCTTTGAGGGAATGCCCAAGTGGGACTGTCGCTCTGACCCTTCTGGGACTTTTCTCTGAACCAGTGGATAAAACCAAGAAGAAGTTTCTTGACTCTGACCTCTGCAGGTGACAGACTCTCGTGTGACAGGTATCTTCCCTCTCCATAAAGGGAAGGAGCATCCTCAGCTCTGAGATGCAGTGCCACAGAGAAGGGTCTGTGCACGCTGCCACACTGGGTCCTGTCACTTAGCACCATAGACTGCACTGTCCTGTGGGGTTCTCGACTGCCCTCCTCATCAAACCCAGTGTACAGGTTGTCAGCTGCAGTTTTCTCAGCTGAATTCCTTTCTGAAAGCTTCTGTGATGTGAAAACCTTATTTTAAATTATATTTATATGCTTTTTCTCTTATTTGTCTTTAATCTGACAGGTCCTTAATCAGACAGGTTATTAATCTGTCTTTGGTTAGGTTCAAACATAACCTAAGCCACATCTTTAATTCTTTAACCAAAAAAAAACCCTTTAGCCTTTGTGTAAGGACCCAAATTATGCCATAAAAGCATAAATTTTGACTCTTGAGCTCACTTACTGTTTTTGTACAACACAAACACAGTAACAATGTAGTTTCATTAACAGTTTAGATACCTTGGCTGAGTTGTTATGGAACTGTAGTGAATACTACGGTGAACCTGGTAACCTTCCCTGACGAGCTTCAGTTAACCAGCTCCTAACTTCCCCTTTGGCCTTTCCCACTCGATTCTTTTGAAGCAAACCCTGGGCATTATATTTCTTCTCATATATGATGAGAGATGTAATGCATACATATTTCATCACCTTTAAGCAGTAAGGCTTATAAAAAAGACTTACCTTTGTATAAATAGATACATGTTGAAAGTATTTTATAACTAGCTTTTTTCACTCAAGGGAATATTTGTGAGATTATTCAGATAATTCTAGAAATAAGTAATTTTTATTGCAATGTATCACTCTTTTTTTTTTTTGGAATCGGGGATTGAACTCAGACCCTTGTGCTTGCCAGGGAAGCGCTTATTCCACTGAGCCATCTCCCTGGCCCAATGTATCACTCTTTATTAAGAGTAAGACTTACAAACATAACCATGTAACTGTTTATAACTATGTGTGCAACTAAATACACTGTGTGTGTGTGTGTGTGTGTGTGTGTGTGTGTATGTGTATGTGTGTATGTATGTAGATTGGTACTGGAGATTGAACCCAGAGCCTTTGCACTGAGCTATACTCCTAGCCTCATTTCTATTTTTTATTATGAGACAAGTCTCACTAAGCTGTTGGGTTGGCAAAGCTGTGCTCAAACAAATCTGCCTCAGCCTATCAGAGTGCTGGTGTTCTAGGCTTGTGCCACCACTCCCAGCCCTGATGATATAATTCTGTAATATTGTAAGTGCTCAGATCTCCTCAGTTGTTCTATAAATACTGGATTTCATTTATCTGATTAGTTTTTCAGAGCAAGATAGTGAAGTGTTTCCAGTGAATTAAAGATTGCACCTTACATTTCAGAAAATATACCCCAGAAAGTTTCTCATGAAGAACAGCCATTGCTTCTGTGTGAAGGAATGGCTTAGGGTTCAGTCAAGCAGCATTGGTATGTGCAGGAAGTTAGATTTGTGGGGAAGGTGATGGGGATTTGCTGTACCCCAAGCCAGGTAACGAAGGGTCTAATGCGTGCCATGTCTGAGTGCCTCTGGGCCTGTCTTGTCTTTCTCCTGTGCACTACAGAATTCTGCCTCCTCAACGGGAAGCACGGTGGCTTCGAGCAGGAGCGGAGATCTGACCCTGTCTATCTGGACTCCCTGGCCTATCGAGAGTTTGTTTTCATGGATGTGCCAGATGCCAAGCACGGGATGCTTTCCAAGGATGGACTGTTAAGTGTTTTAAAACAAGGTAATGCCATAGAGTAGGGTGTGGTCTAAGTTGAACACTGAACCCCAAGATGTGGTATAGGCTTTGGGATCAGTGACACCTCAGGTACTCATGGAAAACATCTGAAAAGAGGGTGGCTCTACCTCTGAGCCCTGGTCCACCAGCAAGCATTTTCTGTCCAATCTTACAGAACACCAGGTAATGGATGACATGTTCTGAGGCCAAGGTGGAGGCAGGAGGTTGAGGAGTGAAGCAGTCTAGGGCCTGGTGTTCTGTTTCATTGTTAGCACAGAAAACTTGTCAGCAGGGATTGAGAACTCGGTTTTGCATGCCCATTGCTAGATTCCAGGCTTCATTTAGACAGGCTGAGCTTTGTCAGCCTCTTGGAGGCTCTTTATCCTCCTGGCATGGGCCTGTAGTACTGCAGAGGAGAGGGGCAGGCCTCGCGAGGTGCCTGCAGGAATTCATTCCACAGCAGTGGCGTTTTAAAAAGTTGCTCTGGTGTGATTTGGGAGCACAGTGTGCATTAGAAGGAGAAATGAACTTGGTGAGTGCTTTGCACAAAGAGCTAGGAACCATTCGGTGTGCTTCACTGCAGAAGGCAAGGCGAGAGACCCTCAGTGAGGCTTCAGTGAGCCCTGAGTTCAAGTATGTTGTTTTGGAAGACATGGAAACAAAAGTCCAGTCTCCGGATCTCCTGAGGGTCAGCTGAAGAGCACTTCTGGCCACCTTTTGGGGTAGGAGCATCACAGCTGCAACCATGCAGCCTGGCGCTACCCTGCCCAGAAGTGACAAGTCCTAGGCTCCAGCTTTCTTACCACACCCTTGCCTACAAGCCTGCCCTGTGAGCCTGCCCTTCTAGCCAGCTGGAGCTACCCCAGGTTCTGGACTAGCCAGGCCAGCTCTTTCCCTCAGGCTGGGCCTGGTGAAGACCTAGTTGGTTACTGAGTTACATGTCTCTCTGGGGCTTTCTAAAACTGCTGACATGAAGACCTGCAGAGGTAGCACATCTATGTGTTAATATTCAGTGATGTGTATGAAAACATTGTTTTATCAAATCTTTTAAAGAAAATTTCCACTGGGCTTAATTTACTAGAAAAGTCTGACAACCTATTAAAAAAAGAAACAAAAAGAAGAGGCACATAGGGGAGAGGCTCTAGGCATTCTGCAGGATGTGAGTAGCCCCACTGAATGGACTCTGGGGGCCACTTGAACATGTGAGGAGGAGGAAGGGAGGCAAAAGGGGAAAAGCTGAGCTTGCCATGAACACAGGATGCCAGCCCCTCTGAAAAACATGCACTAAGTGGAAAGGAAATGAAATCTGCAGTGTATTTCAAGAAAGGGCATCAAAATGTGTGCATTTTAGAATTTGTGTGGCTCTGAAGCATCATAAAGGTAGACTTTAGTAATTCAGCCTTGAGAATTAAGTTCTATAGAAATCATACGCAGAAGGAGCTTAAGTGAGTATTCTAGAAATTAATTGATTAGGCTTAATTAACATTTAGTAAGTCCTCAGAGAAGAGTGAAGTTTGATGTTTAAAACTGGGCCTTCTCTTTCTCTTCCCTGCCTTCCTATATAGTTTCCAGGTTGTAGTAAAACATGAAGGATATCTTTACCTCACTGTCCTTTAGTTCCATGTTCCACAGCAGGCTGGCTGACTGACTTTAGGTGGAGATCTCTGCACGACAGCTGGCGACACTTAGCAGCGAGAAGCAGGCGATGCTGTCCCTGGTGAGCTAGCTGCGCGCAGCAGTCACAGCTCCGGGTCTTCTATTTCCACAGCCACTCTGCCTCTGGAGAGGAATTTCCATCCCTTCGTGGAGCTGCCAGCGCAGCAGCAGCAGGCTCTGCACAACCTCCTGCAGGCGGTCCTGTTGGATGAAGAGCTTCTGGTGGTCCTGGAGCAAGTGGTGAGACAGAGACCTCTCTAGGCAGGGTTTTCACCTGGCTCACATGGACAGGCTCATGGGCCAGGGCTTTGACCTGGAATGAAACTGCAGCTTGTCCATGGTTTTTCCTAAAGTTTGTCTACTTTCATTCTTAGTTACAGGTCTTTAATTTGCTTACTGCAGAAAGGTAGCTGACATCAGGATAAGAGGATGTGTGCTTCCGAGGGCTGCTGCAACAGATGACCAGTCTTGGGACTTAAAATACAGAAATTAATTCTCTTACAGTTCTAGGGGCCAGAAGTCAGAAATTAAAGTGCTGGTGGGGCCACTCCCTCTGGAAGACCTGAGGAGAAATCCTTCCTTGTGTTCTGTAGCATTTGACACCTGTGGCTTGTGGCTGTGTCACTCCATCTCTGCTCTGTCGTCATATGCTCTTCCCTCTGTTTCCTTTATATATTTTTTTCTTCGTGTGTGTGTGTGTGTGTGTGTGTGTGTGTGTGTGTAGTATTAGGGAGTGAACCCAGGACCCTCTTTGAAGTATGGTACTCTTTAATTTCAAGATAGTCTTGCTAAGACACTAAATTGTTCAGGCTGAGCTTGAGCTGGCATTGTTCCTGTCTCGGTCTTCCAGAGTACTAGGATTATAAGGCCTGTGCCACTGGCATCTCCTGTACTTTTGGGTTTTGTTCTTTTTTGGAGACAGGGCCTTGCTATATAGTTCAGTCTGGCCTCAGGCTCATGGCAATCCTCCTGCCTCAGCTGCCTGAGTGCTGGGATTACAGGGTCATACCACCAGTTCTGGCTCCTTTACCCTTTTGTAAGGAGACCATCGCTGGACCCAGGATCCACCACAGTTTAGGAAAATCTCATCGAGATCATCAACCTTAATTATATTGAGCTGGCATTGCTCCTGTCTCAGTCTCCCAGAGTACTGGGATTATAAGGCCTGTGCCACTGTGCAAGCTCAATTATATCTGCAGCAACATCCAAATAAGCTCACATGTAAACATTCAATCCACAGCAAGGGGGCTGTATGGAGGGGTCCAAGTAAACTTGTACTGTTAAGCTCAGGGACAACCAGGCCTTGCACTTTTCTGTTTTGTAGCAACAGGAGTTTCTGGGAAAATGAGTTGCTTAACTATTACTTGCACAAATGGTGAGGGACACACCAGCTGTTTACCTTCCAAATGCCCAGATGTTCCACACTTAAAGGCTAATTATTATTAATATTATTTATTTGTATTTTTAGTACAGGGTCTATAAGGTCTCACTACATAGATCAGACTCATAGTGATCCTCCTGTTTTCAGTCTCTCAAGCGCTGGGATTATAGGCATATGGCACCATGCCTGGTCTCATTTGCTGTCTCAGTGCACCCCAAGGGGCAGAGCCAGCAAGCACACCGGAGATTGAACCCTGGTCCCTGCCCCTGCTTAAGTGGGTGCTTTAATCCACTGAGCTATCTTGCCAGCTCTAAAAAGGCTGAAGTTTTTAAAACAATTTTTTTTTAAATTTTTATTTATTTATTTATTAGAGA